AGGTTAGCTCACAAACATGCAGGCAAAGAAAACAAGTACAGCTGAGTTCTGTACAGTAAAGAAGTTTATGGGAGATTTGGCATTGCTCATGGGGGCTTAGGAAGAATTTCTGGATGGGGATGGATGCGCAGAGATTGAGTCAGGATTCTTTCAGCTGGGGGTGTATACATTATTACTATTATATGAGTAATAGTAATTCTATTGCTATATTGCATATATCGTGTTTTTTTGTTTTTATGTTTGGGGGGCATTACTGCTACATTATTAGTATTACATCAATTAGTATAGTTGTAATACTATGTTATATATATATAGAATTTATTATGTTATTAACTCATATGATTTATTTTGGTTGATATCTTGTTAACATAGATGGGCCGACAGAAAAGACTTTCTGAGCATTGCTCATGTGGGCTTATGTTTCTGGGCCACTTATCTTTAAACTCTGAAGCCTAAATTTCCTCATAGACCCACAGCTTCGTTTTAAGTTCCATGTGCAGTTTTAAGCATACCTTGAACCCGATTCAAAACCCCCCCAGTTTCAATGCTATGTTCCATTGCTTTCGCCTTTGGTAACCCCTAAACCCTAAACCATAAACCAGTCCCTGTGGACGCGGCTGACTGGGTTGCTGTTGAGGAACTTAAATTCGGTCTCTATAATAAGGAAACCCTATCATTTACCATACACCGGTATTATGGTGACTTAATTTAAGTTCCTTAACAGCAACCTACTTCAGGGTTTAGCCTCCAAGCAAGAAGAAAAGTCAACCCAAATTGACAATGAAGTCCACGCTTACGCCCATGGGTGCATGTGGGTGTTTGTTCTAATCACAGTTGCCTGGTTTTCGAATGCGAGGTCCTCCAACTGGCTTGCTGTTCAGGAACTTAAATTACATTACTGTAGTAAGGAAACCCTATTATTTATTTTCTTTATACCCATATTGTGGTAACTTGACTGCAGTTCTTTTCCCAGCCATAGGGGCCGCAATTTCCCGACAACCCACACCCTGCAGCCCTAAACCCGTAAACCCCTAAATCCTAAACCTTCAAAACCCTCAACCCACAAAACACTAAACCTTAAACCCTTAACCGCCCTTTTCTCTGACTCCGTCAGGGTGCGTCCTCTGCTGGCAGTTCAGAGAGGACTGCGTGGTTTTTTTCTGGGAATTATTTTTGGAAACGGTACTTCGGCTTAGGGTTTAGGGTTCAGAGTTGGGTTTAGGTGTTAGAGTTTTGAGGTTGGTGTTATAATGTACTTTAAGATAGTATACTATTACAATACATTAAAACATACCAAAATACTTCAGAATATACTCCAACACGCTATAACATACTGCCATATACTATCACATGCCATGATCTATAATGCTATACAAACATACACTGCAACATACTTTCTTATAACATAATGTATGATGAGATATTATGGTATATCATGGTACGTTATGGGACATTATGTTGACTTAGCCCTAAACCCTAAACCC